ATTTTGTCCTTAAAATGGCTTTTAAAAAATTAAAAACTGATTTCATTTTAGCTGAAATAAAACAAATAAGACTTTCTTTAAAAGAAAAAATATTATCTGACATGCTGTGAAAATTTCCTCGCTCTGTTAAACATCATTTCGAAAAAAATTTAAAAAGAAAATGATTTTTAAAGGAGGGCTAATAATTCAGACATTAAGTGTGTGTGTGTGTGTGTGTGTGTGTGTGTGTGTGTGTGTGTGTGTGTGTGTGTGTGTGTGTGTGTGTGTGTGTGTGTGTGTGTGCGTGGGTGCGTGCGTGGGTGCGTGCGTGGGTGCGTGCGTGCGTGCGTGCGTGCGTGCGTGCGTGCGTGCGTGCGTGCGTGCGTGCGTGCGTGCGTGCGTGCGTGCGTGCGTGCGAGTGTGTGAGTATTCAACTGAAAATATTATCACAAATTGCAAAACAATTAGATACTATTTTTTTATTTGTTATGAATATTATTTTACTTATATTTTAATGAATTCTATGCAGTAAAGCACATGAAATTTTTTTTCAAAATATTATACAAAATATTTTTCTTTTTTTATATAGAATTTTAAATATTAGCTAAACATTTTCTAATATATGAATGGAAAATAGATTTTTATTCAACTGCAAACATAAATAAATAAATCACAAACTGCTAAACAATTTGGCTGCTTTTTAAAAAATATTCTAATGATTGGTATTTTATTTCTATTTCAATAGATTCGATGCCATAAAGGACATTCAAACACTGCTAAATATTTAGCTAAAATAAACGCTACTGACTGGATGTAATGTAATTTGATACCGCATGCCGAATGAAAAAATAATAATTCAGCTTTTCTCGGACAGAGCATAAACGTGTTTTAAGTGATGAGGATATGACGACTGACCAGACTCAGAAAGTGCAGAGAATAGTGTCTGTCATTAGTGTGTGTGCATGTCTTATCCTGTCACAAAGTGCTAAAAGTTTTTCATGATGTTAATAGTTTGATTCAGGTCTTTACACGTCTGTACTACACTTCAGTAATGCGACTGAAATAGAAATACTTCATGTCTTAATTTAATTTGTGTTTGCAACGATTATGACTTGAAGCATATCTGAAGTGCTATTCCATCGCACTATTACAAACCATAATGTGTGTGGCTGCAGTTATAGCCTCTGTTGGACGCGGCAGCCGCTATACTGAAAGCGGTTGCGTCACACCTGCCTGCCCAACCGAGTGACAAGTGCAACTCCAAGGCCAGCCAGGGTTGCCAGGTGTGTGAAAAGCACTTGATTTGCAGTTTAAATTCAATCCTGCCCCCGATCTTCAATGCTAATTTCACCCTCATGCTCCATCATAATATTACACCACAACTTTTCAACTTTTATATATGTATATGTGATGATCTTTTTTCAATATATTTTTAAAACATAATACTTCTAATCACTAATTCCTTTCGTCTTTTTCATGATGACGGTACATAATATTTTACTAGTTATTAACCTTCATTACTATAACTTTGCCTTTAACAATATATAAATTAGAAAAAGATCATTATGTAAAAAGAAATGTAATTAAACTCTTATTAAATGATTTTTATACTTCCAACTAAGGTAACATGAATAATTCTTCTTGTCTGTGTTATTAAAAATGCGACTAAAATAAAGCTGAGCTGAGCCTAAAAAAAGAAGAAAAAAAAAAGTTCAATCTATGTTCAGTGTTGCACTGTTATTACCTGTCATTTAAATCTTTTTTTTAATAATCAAGATAAAAATGCATGTATTTTATTTCTTTTTCAGATGAACGACACATTTACCAGAGATCCTATACTTTCCAAATACTACACCAAGTCTGTGATCACCGCCTTCAGGTATGTCTGAGCTAAAGAGCCTTGATCTAGACAAAACTACATTTATAGCACGCTCTCTAAATCTAATAGTTTTTAAATTAAAGGATAGATCATTCCTTATGCCTTGATTCGAATGCTTAGTGGCTCTGCTGATAGAGATGAATTACAAGTCTCACAGAATCTGGGTTAAGAAAAAAAATCACCCTAATAGAATACAAATTATTAATTTCTGGTTCAGCCATTAGAATTGCTCATGCTCTGGGTTAGCGACCATAAAACAGAGCAAAAATCTATTACAGTGAATCTGAATCTTACAGATAATGGGCTCTTTTTCAATTTGGGTCAGTAAGAAACCACCTAGACCACGTTACTATATGTTAATACTTTACCTTTCAGTACAGCGTTATGTTTATTACTTTTTAGGAACAGAACCATTTTAATTAGCTTTTCAAAGCACATTTTTATTTAAACGTAAGCACAATACAGTGTTACTGTTCAAACTACACTCACCGGCCACTTTATTAGGTACAGTACAAATCACTAGAACCTGGTTGGACGCCGTTTTGCCTTTAGAACTGCCTTAATCCTTTGTGGCATAAATTCAACAAGGTACTGGAAATATTCCTCAGATATTTTGGTCTATATTGACATGATAGCATCACACAGTTGCTGCAGATTTGTCAGCTGCACATCCATGATGCAAATCTCCTGTTCCACCACATCCCAAAGGTGCTCTACTGGATTGAGTCTGGTGACTATTTAGGCCATTTGAGTACATTGAACTCATTGTCATATTTAAGAAACCAGTCGGAGATTCAAGCTTTATGACTTGGTGTGTTACCCTTCTGGAAGTAGCCATTAGAATATGAGTACACTGTGGTCATAAAGGGATAAACATGGTCAGTAACAAAATTCAGGTAGGCTGTGACTTGATGCTCAATTGGTACTAGTAGGCCCAAAGTGTGCCAAGAAAATATTCCCCACACCATTACGCCATCACCTCCAGCCTGAACCCTTGATACAAGGTAGGATGGATCCATGCTTTCATGTTGTTGATGCCAAATTCTGAACCTACCTTCTGAATGTCGCAGCAAAAATGAAGACTTACAGACCGCAACATTTTTCCAATCTTCTATTGTCTAATTTTGGTGAACCTGTGCGAATTGTAGCCTCAGTTTCATGTTCTTAGCTGACAGGAGTGGCACCAGGTGTGGTCTTCTGCTGCTGTAGCCCATCTGCCTCAAGGTTGGACGTGTTGTGCGTTCAGAGATTCTTTTCTGCATACCTCGTGAAATGTGAGGTTATTTGACTTACTGTTGCTCGGTTTGAACTGCAGCAGATCGTCTCGACCTCGTCTACATGCCTAAATGCATTGGGTTGCTGCCATGTAATTGGCTGATTAAAAACTTGCGTTAATGAGCAGTTGGACAGGTGTACCTAATAATGTGGACGGTGAGTATTTATAATGTTTAAAGTGGCTGAAAATAACAAACACTATTTTTAATAAATAAATCTTCCTTTTTGAACTGTGCAGAGCTGAAGCTGATTAATTAGGCATATTACTCTACTGTATTTCGATGCTGGTCATTAGGTGGTACATGGAGAGACTAATTCTTTCTGTGGTGGTACTTGGTGTTAAACATTTGAGAAACACTGCCTTACTGCTGTTGGGGAACTGACAGTTTTAAACCAAAAATGTCCAGTCTGTCAGATGAAGAAGAGCTGGAGCTGGAGTTGCAGTTTCAGAAGCCAGCTTCAAAACTCTCAGAGTTCATAGGCCGTTCTGCTTACAATCTCAAACAACAATTATACTCTCACATAACCTCATTAAATGTTTCATACATATAGATGTTTTAACAGATTTCCATGTGTGTGTGTGTGCGCGTAATTCTGAACAATATCCTCCAGTGGTACTTGATTAACAATGATTACTTAGGCATTAAATACAAAAGTTAGACTGCCACTAGGGTATTCAGAGCTGACCCCTAAAGCTGTAATACAGATCCACAAATAAATCGAACCAAAGTCCCTGTCAGGCAAGTAATTTCCCTAAGAGGCCACTTTATTAGGTACATCTGTCCAGCTGCTTGTTAATACAAAATTCTCATCAGCCAATCACATGGCAGCAACTAGAATGCATTTAGGCATGTAGACATGGTCAAGACGATCTTCTGCAGTTCAAACTGAGCATCAGAATGGGGAAGAAAGGTGATTTTAGTGACTTTGAATGAGGCATGGTTGTTGGTGCCAGACGGGCTGGTCTGATTATTTCTTTGATTATTTCATCCTGAAGTGAACATCCATCAGAAAATCCAATCCATCAGTGCAATGCAAAGCCTAGTTGTCCTTAAGAGAGAACCAAAAATCAAAGGTTTTATTTTGCTTTCATTAATATGTATACTTGTTCACCATCTTGCACCTGCAGTGAAGGAACCATCGCGTATCATTGGTCTCAGTTTGATGTTCCTGAGATGGACCAGGAGATGGTCCCACAGGTGTCAGAGGAGCGCGTTGTCGAGGCTCTTCGGAGGAGCATCCGGCAGGAGGGCAGACGTGAAGGGAAAGTTGCAGTAACTGCCACCGACATCACTGCTTCAAGTAATGCTCATGAATAATACATACTGTGACTACATTTTTACACACAGATTATGTTCCGTTGCTTCTTGCATGTTTCACTGCAGTTTCAAAGTAAAACTTTCAGTGAGTTGTGTGAAAACTCGTGTTCAGTTTTCTCTTAAATAGCTAAAAATTACTTTGGCAATGTTTTATACAGTGGGGAAATAAATATTGAACACGTCACCATTTTTCTTAGAAAACATATCTCTAAAGGTGCTGTTGACTTGAAACTTTCCCAGGATGTTGATACCAACCAAAGAAAAAGTTATATACAGTACCAAAAGAAACAAATCTAATTAGTTTACAAATTAAGTTATATGTAATAAAATTAAATGACACTGGGAAAAAGTATTGAACACATGAAGAAAGGAAGGTGAAGAAAGGCTGTGAAAGCTCAGACAGCAGCTAAAATCTCTTATTAGTTCTTCAGCAACCCTCTGCCCTTCGTCATTGTAAATAAATATTAGCTGCTTCAGTCCAACATCTACATTTGCAGGATGATAAAACCAGAGTGGACATTTCAGAAAGACAATGATTCAAAACACAG